GGGCATTGAGGGCGGCAAGCTTGGGGGACATGAATCCTATTTGGGCACTCGCTGTTACCGGCGATCGGAGGAGAGAGAGTAGAAAGAAGAGTATTAGTGCAGCTAGTTGAACGAATAAGGGAGATGAAGAAGAGTTTTTCATTGTCCCTGCTTCCATCTATGCCCTGACATGAGGCCAGGGATTTATAAATTAAACTTTCATTTAGCAAAGTTATCACAATTCTCATCAAGAATGCTTCGACATGTGCAGCATCAACAAGCAAAATCGGAGGGTGAAAGAGCCAAATGGAGGAATAAGAGTTTGAAGGATGCAGCTGCAAGAAAGACTTTTATTTTAGAGAGAGTCCATCTGTCCATGTCACGATCAAGGAGACTGCAAGCATTACATGAATGGTAATTCACTATTTAATTATTTTGTTAAGATTGTGACAACTATTTGGATCAATCTTTTCATATAAATTAAAATTTAATATATTAGATTATCAAAGACAGATTGACGTCTTCATTTTGAGCTGTAAATGGAGCAAAAAATTCTATTAATTTAACTATACAGAAACGATCAGTCATTTTGAGAGGCTAATCTGACAATTCAAAGCTTCGGCCATTTTGGTTTATATCTTATTTTTTTTTTAGAATGGGGGCATCTACCGGCTGCCATTCCATAGGGAGCGCTTGTCGGCATAACTAATCTCTCGACGGAACCTAGCAAGGCCACCCACCGGCATTGGGCCCATACATATTTTGCCTCACTGAAGAGGCGATGCCATAGTAGAGGGGATTCGAATCCGGGATGGGAGTTCCCAGCTGTGCATGCCCACCAACCACCCTAAGCCTTGATGGGTTATTTTGTTAATTTTTACTCATTTGATATGCTTGTTTTGTCTCAAAGTTGATCAATTAATTAGCCAACTTTTGGTTATTAAATTAGTTTCGTTTCATTGTCTATGATTAGCATGAAAAGTTCTAGCAACTTGGTAGATCATGCATTTATCTGTCATAAATCAATTTAAAAAAAGTTGACCGTTTGTTGTAATAAATAATAATACATCCATATCCATGAAAGCCAAATAAAAGAATTTTGTCTGATCTTGACCTAACAGCATTGAATGTCCATCAATCATCATGTGGCAATCTCGACAATATATAAAAAAAAATGGCAGATCAAACGCCCAAAAAAACTTTCCACCCTCCGCAGGTTGATATTGCGTCCCAGTAGTTTTAATGATAGCGATAACCTTCCTTGGAACCCAAGCCTTTTACTTGTTCTGCAAGGGAGAAAAACTTTATATCCCAATGATCCATGATAGCCATCACATAATTAGCTTTCTTGTGAAGAACCCCACAAGAAGAAAACAAGAAATTAAGAAAATAGCAAGGGGTACATATGGATATTATATATATGAATTCTTATATTATATTTTTCTCTTCAAAATAAATCATATAATTAAAAAATATATTCTATTCAACTTACATAATGTTTATTTATATATGTAGATGTCTGAGATGGAAAATAAGCCACAAAAAGTCTATGGCTGCTGGAAGGAAAAGCATAAGAGCACGAAGGTTCAAGGCTGTGAGGTCTGCTCGACATTAGTGGGAAAGCTGGATGGTGAAGAGGAGATGTGATGCGGTGCATCCTATGCTTATGGTGTTCCCTAGGACACCTTATCTAAGTTTGTTAGAATGAGCTTCTAGAATTCTCTTTTTGCTTTATAAATAGGAGGTTTTTGTAATAGGGAAGACATTGAATGACATATTACTCTCTTTGAAGCTTAGAAAGCTTGTTCTTCTTCCCTGGATTGGGAACTCTTTGAAATCCTTCTTGCAGGTGTCGTCTTCCGCCGATCCACTACATCAGTTGGTATCAGAGCCAGGAGCTTGTGAAGAGCGATGTATTGCAGAAGGTCGGCTGTCGACGATGATCGAAGCCGCAAAACAAGATTGGCGTTCGACGACGTTCGACGTCAAGAAAGGTGGGCTGTCGACGATGCTCGAAGCCGGATCGCCTTTTACCAAGCTCAGTCGAAGGAATCGCTCGATCGGGTAGACAGAAACCTTGATCTGATTCGCGAAAACCTTCGAGCAATAAGGAAGATGAGGAAGACGTCGGCAACCATACCGAGGTACTCTTATTCTTCTTCTTCGATCTCATCATCCGCTTCACGCAGACGCCGTCAGCCACGCCACGATTACCCTCCGCTCGAGCTCCCTCTCCGATGGCGTGACCCGCCACCAAAATACCCGCCGCTCGATCGTCCGATGCGATGGCCAGATTCTTCGCCCGATCGCGCAGTTCGCAACCACCCCAGGTCCGTCTTCAAAGATTCGTATCCGTTCCAGCATCATCCGCCTCCCGCGGACATGAATCTTTGCACACCGCCAGCGAGCTCAACTCCGATTCCGCCTCATGATTCGCCTGCATTTTCAATGCTCCAGCGAAATGCCCTCACTGGTCCGACAGCTGGCCTACTCCACTCGTCGATGCCGGCAGCAGCCACGGTTGAGGCCGAAGATTCTTCAGACGTTCATGTCATTTCCGCCCAGGTGAGTATCTGCTCAACACAGTCACCGCGATCTCGGTCTGAGAGCCCTGCGAGGAACCTATCTCAGGCTGTGGAGCTTCTGCATAATAGCCGGAGAAAGGCCCAGCTCGGCAAACGATCCATTTCAAACCTCCCAGAGTCCTTCATGGCGAGCTCCTACAGCCTTCGACCTGTCGGCGAGACTCTCCCGCCGTTAATGGACGGACCAGATCCTCCATCACCGCCCGCTCCGACGGAGCCCCATCCCACAGCCGCCGTCCAGGCTCCCGCACCCCAGCCGCCGATTCGCCGACGCGACGCGTGCGTGACTTCGCCCGGCGCTTGCCCGAACAGACTCCGGCACACCCAGCGCCGGTCTCTGGCGACTCCGCTCATTGGCAGCACCAGTCCGGCGATCTCGCTCCAGATCACGGAGAATGACTCCGTCTCTTCACATGAAAAAACTAATGTTGAGCAAACTGCCGCAAGACCAGAAGAGGATGTCGTCATTGATGAGGAAGCTTATGATCCTTCAGAACCTGTGGAAGCTTCAACTGTTGAAGATGAAGATCCGGTAGAGGAGAGAGCATGGAAGGCAAAAATGTTTCTCCAAAAGATCTATTTCTACTACACGCCGTTCAACAGCTCTCACCGCTACATTCTCATGCCGGACGGCGTCGAGCGTCATCTCGTGCGGGCTGACGACACCAAGAACTGCTTCATAGGAGAAAATAATGTCGGTAATGATGCTGCTGCACTAATGTCTCAACTGGCCCCGAAGGCTAAGGCTTTAAGAGATGAAAAATGGAAAGAAACAGGTGCTTCAATATTGGTTCCAAGAAATCCTCTGAAAGTTGATCAGCCGGCTCTTGCGGAAGAATCCCTACCAGTAACTAAGTGCCCTGGTGATGCTGTCTACTCGCGTTCAACTTATAAACAAGGAGAAATAGAAGCAGTGGGTATGGCTGCCTTGAATTTGTTAAGGAAGATCATAAACAAGCATTTAAAGAAAAATCTTGACAGACTCACAACAGAACAACCACTGAATGATTTTATGGAGGTATGTAAAGATCTTCATGCCCTTAGCATTGCTAAAAGAAATACAAATGATTTTGAAGTGTGCGGCAGAGTCGTTGGAAGTAGTATTGGGAAAGATTTTATTACAGGTGTGGAAATGCCAGATTTAAATGCTGCTGAAAAAGTTGATTCAGTGCAATGCATCCAAACTGTTCGACGAAATGACGCTAAAGGATTCAACCCAAATTTGAAGAGGCTAGAGGAGATTGTGCAGAAGCTTGATAAAGTTCCAGCTGAGGCCTTTTTGACGTGTACACATCTGGCAATAGTGATGGAATATGCTATAGGAGGTGAGATGTTTGAGATAATTTGGAATACAAGGAGGTTCGTTGAAGACGAGGCAAGATTCTTCTTTCAACAACTTATTTCAGGAGTCAGCTACTGTCATTCCATGCAAATATGCCCCAGGTCTCTCAAGTTAGAAAACACATCATTGGATGGTAGTATTATACCGAGGCCAAAGATATGTGACTTTGGGTATTCCAAGTCTTCTGTGTTACATTCACAACCAAAATCTATGGTTGGTACACCAGCTTACATCGCTCTCGAGGTTTTATGTCGGAAGCAATATGATGGCAAGGTTGTTGATGTTTGGTCTTGTGGAGGTTGGTCAATCGAGTGGCAAAGACTTAGCAGGAATAGTCTTATAATTGGAACTGCCTTACTTGAGGCCATAAAAGCAACAGCAGGTCCAAGCACAAAAGTTGTTTTTTCTGAGAACCGTGATGCATATTTCATCCGAGACAATGCAAATGTTTTTATTGGAATTTTTATTCCTTACTTGAATGGCTTTGTTAGCAAACTGTTGGTATTCATTCAGATTTGGAAACAGAAGGCTGCAAAGAGCTTAAAAGATCATAATATTTCAATAACTGTGGCTGATGCTCAATTTTGTAAGCCTCTTCATGTGGTAATTTTAAAGACCGCATTCAAAGTCTTCGATCCGGGAATCTGCCTTCTGCAACTTCTTTGTCAATAATGCGTCTCGACGCTCTGGATCCTGCAAAGACAGATGATGGTCTAGTTCTACCAGAAACCATTCAGAAATCGTCAGAAGAATTTTCTGAGAACAAAAAATGCATGATATGTTTCTTTGGTAATCATAAAAATCACAGTGATAAAAAATCAAAGGAAGAAATTCTTTTTTTATGTGAGGATTGCAAGTACAAGATAGCAACTTTTTATGTCCTGCATGTTCAGAAATGGCATGAGCTCCTCAGTCCAAGAAGCAAAAGGAAGATAAACCCCTTTGAAGGTAACAAAGAGCAGTCTCCATCATGCGTTTCTTCCTGCAAAACTCGAATAAGAAGATCAAAAAAATATAGAAAAAAAACAGGAAAAAAAAGTCATCAGCAAGTCCTTTGGGAAAGGTATGAGAATGGTGATCCTACAGTGGGACCATTGGGTGAGCCAAGTGGGAAATTTGATTATATAGTAGAGTATGCGACTGAAGAAGGAAAAAGAAGAGTACTATTAGACACATCTTATGATCAGATCATTCCCACAGGATGGGATGTAATTAATTAACTAAATGCCAATATATAGCTTAATTGTTTCTTTTAGTCATGTTGTTAGTCTAATCTTATGTACTGAATAATCATGTTGTTAGTCTAATTTTATGCTTAATTGCTGCTTTTAAAAGTCCCCTTCCATTGAAATATTGTTTTGTATTTAGTTTGAATTCTAGTTTATTTTCACTTGTGAAGTTTCTGTGTGAAAAACAATTTATGTTTCGGAGATGTAATTCTATTATGTAATTTTAATTTATCAATAATATAAAAAATAATGAGAAATATTTATGATAAATAACAAATATTTAAATATATAAATGTAATAAATAAACTCTTCTTAAATTTTTGAAAAAGTCACTTTATAATACAATATCAAAAAAAAAAAAAAATGAATAAGAGAATATTTCACACTAAATATCAATTTCTGGCCTCCATCGTCCATCGACTACACAGTACTTGGGAAACTTTAGCCCAACTACGGTCCTCCGACCATTATTGCAGACTATGATCATTTTGTCAGTCCTTTGATCACATATCTATTGTCCTTCCAATCTATGTTGCTCACCAATTATGATCCTCCAATCTCTATCATCAACTAAATATGATCCTAGGACCACCATCATTCATTTACAGTCTTACTACCATTGTCGTTCGATTAAAATCCACAGACCTACAATCTCTTGACTTGTGTCTTATGGCTACTCTTTATCTATAAGTGTCTAAGATTTTTATACAAAGTTAGAACGTTAAACTCTAGCTCTATTTTCTTACCGCAGTTAATATTCTGACATGTAATATTCTAGAACTCAAACCTCAATATCTATGAGCCTTCTACATATATACAAATATGCAAAAAGTGAACTATATAAGCTAAGAAAGTACCAACCAGACTTAACATTAATTAATCACCCTAATTAACAAATTTTATTGTGTTTTTCTTTTTTGTTTGATTGGAAGCAAAATTAGTACAGTGACTATCAAATATTATAAATACAATCAAAGGAACATAAATATTTCCGCTTATTAATTACATTGAGAAATTTAGAATGGGAAGAATATATAGCTCTAGAATCTAGATAATGTTAAAAAGACAAACAATATAATTAAAGAGAAGCAGTTATACAAAAATATGTGTAGAAATAACCATCAAGGAAAAAAAATTATTTAATCGATTAATCAGCCAAATAATAGAATTTAATTTAGTAAATATCAAAAAAAAAAAAAAAGAATGAATAAGAGAATATTTCACACTAAATATCAATTTCTGGCCTCCATCGTCCATTGACTACACAGTACTTGGGAAACTTTAGCCCAACTACGGTCCTCCGACCATTATTGCAGACTATGATCATTTTGTCAGTCCTTTGATCACATATCTATTGTCCTTCCAATCTATGTTGCTCACCAATTATGATCCTCCAATCTCTATCATCAACTAAATATGATCCTAGGACCACCATCATTCGTCTACAGTCTTTCGAATATTGTCGTCCGACTAAGATCCACGAACCTATAATCTATTGACTAGTGTATTCTGGCTACTCTTTATCTGTATGTGTCCAAGATTTTCGTACAAAGTAAGAACGTTAAGCTCTCTATTTTCTTACCGCCGTAAATATTCTCACATGCAATAATTTTGAACTCAAACCTCAATATCTATGAGCCTTCTACATACAAATATGCAAAAAGTGAACTATATAAGCTAAGAAAGTACCAACCAGACCTAACATTAATTAATCACCCTAATTAACAAATTTTCTCGTGTTTTAATAATAATTAATAATAATAACTTGTCTGTACCTAGCTAATTAACCATCATAATATTAGAATATATATTATGAATTATATTTGATTCTTATCGATCCTAGCTAGCTAAATAAATTAATAAAAACATACTTATTAAGTATTAATTAATAAAATATCAAATTAATGGAAATACAAAAAAAAAGTATTTAATCGCTCGCTGACCTCTAATTAATTAGCCACTAACGACGTCTAATTAAATATTGATCTAAAAAGCAACCATAAACAATAGCCTCAAAATAATTAGTAAACTCAAATTGGCCACAAAGAAACGTACGTACGTAGTCGATTTCAAGCGTGCTTAAAACCCAAAGCCACCCCGTTTGCCATCTGCATAATTTCTTCTCCATCGCGAGCAAGCCCTCTTCAATCAGGAGCGAAAACGAATTTTGGACAGGAGTGACGGTATTCTTAATTCTTCCATGAATTTTTATTCATCTTTGCATCTTATATATTGTGGTTGTATGTATGTATGTAGATGTCTTAGATGGAGCATAAGCCAGAAAAAAAATGACTGATTATGAATTTTGGACTTGAGTTTAATTACGCCGACGCAATTTTTACTGGTAACTCCGCCCGTAATTACCGGTGGAAAAATGCGCTGAAAATCTTTAAAATATCGGCGAATATCCGGCGGAATATGCGCTGGTGATTCAACGATGGAAATTGTGTAGGATATTTCGCAGTTAAGCTACCGGCGGGTAATTTAATATATTTTTTAAAATTATTAAAATGAAATAAATAGCCAGGATATTTTCAAATGATTAAAATGATCACGGGGATGGAAACTCAAGCCACAATTATAATTGTAGTATGGATATAGAGATAGATATCATGATTAGCATGATGAAAAGTTCTAACAACTTTGTAGGCCATGCATTTATCTGTCATAAATCAATTAAAAAAAAGTTGTTCGTTTGTTGTAATAAATAATAATACATTCATATCCATCAATGAAAGCCAAATAAAAGAATTTTGCCTGATCTCGACCAAACAAAACATTGAATGTCCATCACTCATCATGTGTGGCAATCTCGATCGGCAATATATAGAAAAAAA